TGTGTGTTGTGTGTTGTGTGTTGTGTGTTGTGTGTTGTGTGTTGTGTGTTGTGTGTTGTGTGTTGTGTGTTGTGTGTTGTGTGTTGTGTGTTGTGTGTTGTGTGTTGTGTGTTGTGTGTTGTGTGGTGTGTGTTGTGTGGTGTGTGTGTGTGTGTGTGTGTGTGTGTGTGTGTGTGTGTGTGTGTGTGTGTGTGTGTGTGTGTGTGTGTGTGTGTGTGTGTGTGTGTGTGTGTGTGTGTGTGTGTGTGTGTGTGTGTGTGTGTGTGTGTGTGTGTGTGTGTTTGTGTGTGTGTGTGTGTGGTGTGTGTGTGTGCTTGTGCGTGTGTTGCGTGTGTTGTGTTTGTGTTGTGTGTGTGTGTGTGCGTGTTGTGTGTATTGTGCGTGTGTTGTGTGTGTGTGTGTCTGTGTTGGGTTGGGATATGTTGCGTTGCTTTGCTTTGCGTTGCGTTGTGTTGTGTTGTGGTTTGTGTTGTGTTGTGTTGTGTGGTGTTGTGTTGTGTGTGTGAGTGTGTGCGTGTGTGTGTGTGTTGTGTGTGTTGTGTGTGTTGTGTGTGTGTTGTGTGTACTGTATATTGTGTGTGTGTTGTGTGTGTGTGTCTGTGTGTGTATTCAGTGTGTATTGTGTGTTTGTGTCTCTGTGTGTGTGTCTGTGTGTGTCTGTGTGTGTCTCTGTGTGTCTGTGTGTGTGTGTTTGTGTGTCGCTGTGTGTCTCTCTGTGTCTCTGTGTGTCTCTGCGTGTTTCTGGATGTCTCTGCGTGTGTCTGCGTGTCTCTGCGTGTGTCTGCGTGTCTCTGCGTGTCTCTGCGTGTCTCTGCGTGCCTCTGTGTGTCGCTGTGTGTCTCTGTGTGTCTCTGTGTGTCTCTGCGTGTCTCTGCGTGTCTCTGTGTGTGTCTGCGTGTCTCTGCGTGTCTCTGCGTGTCTCTGCGTGTCTCTGCGTGTCTCTGCCTGTCTCTCCGTGTCTTCGCGTGTCTCTGCGTGTGTTTGCGTGTGTCTGCGTGTGTCTGCGGGTCTCTGCGGGTCTCTGCTCGTGTCTCTGCGCGTGTCTTTGCGGGTCTCTGCGCGGGTCTCTGCGGGTCTCTGCTCGTGTCTCTGCGCGTGTCTTTGCGGGTCTCTGCGCGGGTCTCTGCGTGTCTCTGCGTGTCTGTGCATGTCTCTGCGTGTGTCTGCGTGTCTCTCCGTGTCTTCGCGTGTCTCTGCGTGTGTTTGCGTGTGTCTGCGTGTGTCTGCGCTTGTCTGCGTGTCTCTGCGTGTCTCTGTGTGTGTCTGTGTCTGCTTGTGTCTCCGTGAGTCTGCGTGTGTCTGTGTGAGTCTGCGTGCGCCTCTGTGTCTCTACGTTTCTGTGTCTTTGCATCTTTGTGTCTCTGTGTCTCTGTGTGTGTGTGTCTGTGTGTGTGTGTGTCTGTGTGTCTGTGTCGGTGTGTCTGTGTGCGTGTGTGTCTGTGTGTGTGTGTGTTCGTGTCTCTGTGTGTGTGTGTGTCTGTGTGTGTGTGTCTGCGTGTGTCTGTGTGTGCGTGTGTCCGTGTCTGTGTGTCCGTGTCTGTGTGTGTGTCTCTGTGTGTGTGTGTGTGTTTCTGACTGTGTGTCTTTGTGTGTGTGTGTGGCAGTGTGTGTGTGTGGCACAGTGTGTGTGTGTGTGCGTGTGCGTGTGTCTGTGTCTGTGTCTGTGCCTGAGTCTGTGTCTGTGTCTGTGTTTGTGTCTGTGTCTGAGTCTGTGTCTGTGTCTGTGTTTGTGTCTGTGTCTGTGTCTGTGTCTGTGTCTGTGTCTGTGTCTGTGTCTGTGTCTGTTTCTGTTTCTGTGTCTGTGTCTGTGTCTGTGTCTGTCGGTGTCTGTGTCTGTGCCTGTGCCTGTGCCTGTGCCTGCGCCTGTGCCTGTGCCTGTGCCTCTGTGCCTCTGTGCCTCTGTGCCTCTGTGCCTCTGTGCCTCTGTGCCTCTGTGCCTCTGTGCCTCTGTGCCTCTGTGCCTCTGTGCCTCTGTGCCTCTGTGCCTGTGTGCCTGTGTGCCTGTGTGCCTGTGTGCCTGTGTGCCTGCGCCTGCGCCTGCAACTGCGCGCCTGCGCGTCTGCGCGTCTGCGTGTGTCTGCGCGCCTGCGTGTGTCTGCGTGTGTCTGCGTGTGTCTGCGTGTGTCTGCGTGTGTCTGGGTGTGTCTGTGTGTGTCTGTGTGTGTCTGTGTGTGTCTGTGTGTGTGTCTGTGTGTGTGTGTCTGTGTGTGTGTCTGTGTGTGTGTCTCTGTGTGTCTGTGTGTGTGTCTGTGTGTGTGTCTGCGTGTGTGTGTCTGTGTCTGTGTGTGTCTGTGTGTGTGTGTGTCTGTGTGTGTCTCTGTGTGTGTCTCTGTGTGTGTGTCTGTGTGTGTGTGTGTGTCTGTGTGTGTGTTTGTGTGTGTCTGGTCTGTGTGTGTGTCTGGTCTGTGTGTGTCTGTTCTGTGTGTGTCTGTTCTGTGTGTGTCTGTGTGTGTTTGTGTGTCTGTGTGTGTTTGTGTGTCTGTGTGTGTGTGTGTCTGTGTGTGTGTCTGTGTGTGTCTGTGTGTGTGTCTGTGTGTTGTGTCTGTTCTGTGTTTGTCTGTTCTGTTCTGTGTGTGTCTCTGTGTGTCTCTCTGTGTGTCTCTGTGTCTCTCTGTGTGTCTCCGTGTGTCTCTCTGTGTGTCTCTCTGTGTGTCTCTCTGTGTGTCTCTCTGTGTGTCTCTCTGTGTGTCTCTCTGTGTGTGTCTGTGTGTCTCTCTGTGTGTCTCTCTATATGTCTCTCTGTGTGTCTCTGTGTGTCTCTCTGTGTGTCTCTCTGTGTCTCTCTCTCTGTGTCTCTCTCTCTGTGTCTCTCTCTCTGTGTCTCTCTCTCTGTGTTTCTCTCTCTGTGTCTCTCTTTGTCTGTGTCTCTCTTTTTCTGTGTCTCTTTCTCTGTGTCTCTCTCTCTCTCTGTGTCTCTCTGTCTGTGTCTCTCTGTGTGTCTCTCTCTGTGTCTCTCTCTGTGTCTCTCTCTGTGTCTCTCTCTGTGTCCCTCTCTGTGTCTCTCTCTGTGTCGTGTGTGTGTGTGTCTGTGTGTGTCTCTGTGTGTCTGTGTGCGTGTGTCTGTGTGTCGCTGTGTGTCTCTCTGTGTCTCGAGCTGTGTGTCTCTGCGTGTTTCTGCATGTCTCTGCGTGTGTCTGCGTGTCTCTGCGTGTGTCTGCGTGTCTCTGCGTGTCTCTGCGTGTCTCTGCGTGTGTCTGCGTGTGTCTGCGTGTCTTTGCGGGTCTCTGCGCGTGTCTCTGCGCGTGTCTCTGCGCGTGTCTCTGCGCGTGTCTCTGCGTGTCTCTGCGTCTCTCTGCGTGTCTCTGCGTGTGTCTATGTGTGTCTGCGTGTCTCTGCGTGTCTCTGCGCGTCTCTGCGTGTGTCTCTGCGTGTCTCTGCGCGTGTCTGTCCGCGTGTGTCTGCGCGTGTTTGCATGTCTCTGCGTGTCTCTGCGCGTGTCTTCGGGTCTCTTCGGGTCTCTGTGTGTCTCTGCGTGTTTCTGCATGTCTATGCGTGTCTCTGCGTGTCTCTGCGTGTCTCTGCGTGTCTCTGCGTGCCTCTGTGTGTCGCTGTGTGTCTCTGTGTGTCTCTGTGTGTCTCTGCGTGTCTCTGCGTGTCTCTGTGTGTGTCTGCGTGTCTCTGCGTGTCTCTGCGTCTCTGCGTGTCTCCGCGTGTGTTTGCGTGTGTCCGCGTGTCTCTGTGTGTGTCTGCGTGTGTCTGCGGGTCTCTGCGGGTCTCTGCTCGTGTCTCTGCGCAAGTCTTTGCGGGTCTCTGCGCGGGTCTCTGCGTGTCTCTGCGTGTCTGTGCATGTCTCTGCGTGTCTCTCCGTGTCTTCGCGTGTCTCTGCGTGTGTTTGCGTGTGTCTGCGTGTGTCTGCGCTTGTCTGCGTGTGTCTGCGTGTCTCTGTGTGTGTGTGTGTGTCTGTGTCTGCTTGTGTCTCCGTGAGTCTGCGTGTGTCTGTGTGAGTCTGCGTGCGCCTCTGTCTTTCCGTCTTTGTGTCTCTGTGTCTCTGTGTGTGTGTCTGTGTGTGTGTGTCTGTGTGTATGTGTCGGTGTGTCTGTGTGCGTGTGTGTCTGTGTGTGTGTGTGTTCGTGTCTCTGTGTGTGTGTCTGTGTGTGTGTGTGTGTCTGCGTGTGTCTGTGTGTGTGTGTGTCCGTGTCTGTGTGTCCGTGTCTGTGTGTGTGTCTCTGTGTGTGTGTGTGTGTGTTTCTGACTGTGTGTCTTTGTGTGTGTGTGTGGCACAGTGTGTGTGTGTGTGTGCGTGTGCGTGTGTCTGTGTCTGTGCCTGAGTCTGTGTCTGTGTCTGTGTTTGTGTCTGTGTCTGAGTCTGTGTCTGTGTCTGTGTTTGTGTCTGTGTCTGTGTCTGTGTCTGTGTCTGTGTCTGTGTCTGTTTCTGTTTCTGTGTCTGTGTCTGTGTCTGTGTCTGTCGGTGTCTGTGTCCGTGCCTGTGCCTGTGCCTGTGCCTGCGCCTGTGCCTGTGCCTGTGCCTGTGCCTCTGTGCCTCTGTGCCTCTGTGCCTCTATGCCTCTGTGCCTCTGTGCCTCTGTGCCTCTGTGCCTCTGTGCCTCTGTGCCTCTGTGCCTCTGTGCCTCTGTGCCTCTGTGCCTGTGTGCCTGTGTGCCTGTGTGCCTGTGTGACTGTGTGCCTGCGCCTGCAACTGCAACTGCGCGCCTGCGCGTCTGCGCGTCTGCGTGTGTCTGCGCGTCTGCGTGTGTCTGCGTGTGTCTGCGTGTGTCTGCGTGTGTCTGCGTGTGTCTGCGTGTGTCTGGGTGTGTCTGTGTGTGTCTGTGTGTGTCTGTGTGTGTCTGTGTGTGTGTGTCTGTGTGTGTGTGTGTCTGTGTGTGTGTCTCTGTGTGTGTCTCTGTGTGTCTGTGTGTGTGTGTGTCTGTGTGTCTGCGTGTGTGTGTCTGTGTCTGTGTGTGTCTGTGTTTGTGTCTGTGTGTGTCTCTGTGTGTGTCTCTGTGTGTGTCTGTGTGTGTGTCTGTGTGTGTTTGTGTGTCTGTGTGTGTCTGGTCTGTGTGTGTGTCTGGTCTGTGTGTGTCTGTTCTGTGTGTGTCTGTTCTGTGTGTGTCTGTTCTGTTCTGTGTGTGTCTCTGTGTGTCCTTGTGTGTCTCTGTGTGTCTCTGTGTGTCTCCGTGTGTCTCTCTGTGTGTCTCTCTGTGTGTCTCTCTGTGTGTCTCTCTGTGTGTCTCTCTGTGTGTCTCTCTGTGTGTCTCTGTGTGTCTCTCTGTGTGTCTCTCTATATGTCTCTCTGTGTGTCTCTGTGTGTCTCTCTGTGTGTCTCTCTGTGTGTCTCTCTGTGTCTCTCTCTCTCTCTCTGTGTCTCTCTCTCTCTGTGTCTCTCTCTCTGTGTCTCTCTCTCTGTGGTTCTCTCTCTGTGTCTCTCTTTGTCTGTGTCTCTCTTTTTCTGTGTCTGTCTCTCTGTGTCTCTCTCTCTGTGTCTCTCTCTGTCTGTGTCTCTCTGTCTGTGTCTCTCTCTGTGTCTCTCTCTGTGTCTCTCTCTGTGTCTCTCTCTGTGTCTCTCTCTGTGTCTCTCTCTGTGTCCCTCTCTGTGTCTCTCTCTGTGTCGTGTGTGTGTGTGTCTGTGTCTGTGTCTGTGTGTGTGTGTGTGTGTTTTTGTTTTTGTGTGTGTGTTTTTGTTTGTGTGTCTGTGTGTGTGTGTTTGTGTCTGTGTGTGTCTGTGTGTGTGTGTTTGTGTTTGTGTATGTGTGTGTGTTTGTGTCTGTGTCTGTGTCTCTGCGTGTGTCTGTGTCTGTGTTTGTGTGTGTGTGTGTTTGTGTGTGTGTGTGTTTGTGTGTGTGTTTGTGTGTGTGTGTTTGTGTTTGTGTGTTTGTGTGTGTGTTTGTGTGTGTGTGTTTGTGTGTGTTTGTGTGTTTTTGTGTGTTTTTGTGTGTTTTGTGTGTTTTTGTGTGTGTGTGTTTGTGTGTTTTTGTGTGTTTGTGTGTGGTTTTGTGTGTTTTGTGTGTTTTTGTGTGTGTTTGTGTGTTTTTGTGTGTGTTTTGTGTTTTTGTTTTGTGTGTGTGTGTGTGTTGTGTGTGTGTGTTTTTGTTTGTGTTTTGTGTGTTTTTGTGGTCTTTTGTGTGCTTTTGTTTGCTTTTGTGTTTGTGTGTGTGTGTGTGTGTGCGTCTGTGTGTGTGTGTGTGTGTGTGTCTGTGTGTGTGTGTCTGTGTGTTTCTGTGTGTGTCTGTGTGTGTTTGTGTGTGTCTGTGCGTGTGTGTCTGTGTGTGTCTGTGTGTTTCTGTGTGTGTCTGTGTGTTTCTGTGTGTCTCTGTGTGTGTCTGTGTGTCTGTGTGTGTGTGTGTTTGTGTATGTGTGTGTGTGTGTTTGTGTCTGTGTCTGTGTCTGTGTGTGTGTGTGTCTGTGTCTGTGTCTGTGTCTCTGCGTGTGTCTGTGTCTGTGTTTGTGTGTGTGTGTGTCTGTTCCTTTGTGTGCCTGTGTCTGTGTCTGTGTGTGTTTGTCTGTGTGTGTGTGTCTGTGTCTCTGTCTGTGTCGGGGGGGAGGGCATATTCCTAGGAAGGTATCTCTCTTAGGAGTCTTAGGAAGATTCGATCTCCCCATTCTGGCTGGTTGGGAAGCCCTCCTTGCGGTCCGCGAAACGTTCCATGCCAGGCATGAGCGCCGGCCAAGTGGAGGCGGGTCTTGGGTTAGGCAGTTGGTGGAGTTTCTACTCGATTTCGACTAGCAACTTTGTTAAGTAGGCAGGGGCAACAAAGGGAAATTCGAAAACCGAACCCTGACTGAATCCAGGTTGAATCTAAACTGAGCTTACCTTTGCAATGATTCTCACAAAGCCCAATAAGAACTCTCAGCACTCTCTTGTGTTCGCAACGCGACTGCAGCTCACGCCAAGAGTTTCAGCAGCAGTGTGTCAACATCAAATCCCCAAATCCATGCGTTTCGTGAAGGTCTGAACCTTGTCGATGCTTTGACGGCGACGGTTGTTTGCACTACTGATCGCTTTGCAGTGGTTCGCAGCTAGAGGTACTTACAACTTGCAATGCAGCATTTTGCCTTATGACGCCAACCTAGTGGTCAAGTTTGTTTTTGTGGAGTTGCGATAAGTGTACACTTCCCGAATCCACAATAATGGAGGCACATTATGAGTAATCCGAGGCCCCGGAATTATCCCGAAATTAATTTTTGTTACCCCCCCCCCCTCGGGTTAATCCAGACCTGGTCAGTCCTCTCCGGTCCTTTCTGTTTCTGCATAGACCCCTGTTTAACCAATAGGACTGCAATAGGAAAGTAAAGGGAGCTCTTTTTTTTGTCAGGGCTGGAGAGGGCCAGCCTTGGAGGGGTACCCTATATCAGCTTCTGAATTCTTGTATGTTGAAGCAATCTGCAATAGCAAACCATGATGTTTCCGGCTAGCCTTTTTCTTTTGATTTCTGGAATTGCAACCCTTGAGACTTGCCAAAGTATTGGCAATACCTTTGGTAAATTGACATTATGATGTTGGACTTTGGGCCAGAAAGAAACGTCTTCAATCAGAGGGGTTTTTGGGAGGTGGCAAACAAATATTCAGAGGGGTCTTTTGGCCAAGCCTTTAAAGCAGTACTTTTTGGCAATCGGCTGGAACTATCGGGCGTCTTTAATCAGAGGAGGTTTGTCAATCATATTCGACGTTATATTCGACGTTATTCATGAGACAATCATCTTCTCCCAATCCAAGTCCGCCTGTGGCTGGACAAATTTCTGCACCAGTTGGGATGGTGACCCCCTATGCTGGGATATGCCTACCAACTGCAGTGAAGGCGATTGTTCCTTGCCACGATCTGGTTGCCCACAGGCACCCTTTGAACTCAACGGACATCCCCTCCAAATGCGAGCATATGAGAGCGCGCTTTTCATACCGAACAGGTCTGGGGCTTCATCCTGGCGAAGGCGGCTTTGGCTGGTGACCAGCCATGCACGCATATGTGTCCAACCCTTTTTGGGCTCGCGACGCTTTTAGTTGGTACAGTACCCCCTTATTGAGGTTGCTTTGATAGGGAAAGGGTAACGTGCGAAAATTAGAGAGTGTTTTTTTTGGAAACCGAAGGGAACATGCATGAGTTGACATCAAAGGGAAACCAACATTGGGCTCGTGTTGAAAGGATGTCAATCATTCGCAAGAAAGGTTGCAATAACAAATGGACCGGGCCCACGCAATTGTCTCCTTTGGGGGGTTGGATTATCAGTTGGTTCCTCGAAATTATAATCCAGCTATAAGCTGGGCTGTTGGGCAATCTGCAAGATCTTTCAGGCGTTCAAAAGGTTTTGCTCCTTTTTGTCGTCATTTCCCAATAGGGATCAAGGTTGGGCTTGGGCTGGCTGGTGGGGATCAGGGTTATAGGACCAGGTGGTTTAGGGTTTCTTTAGGTTTAGACAAGGTTTCGGGGCAGGTCAAGGCTGAAAGTTGGGTTGCTTCTTGTTGCTTCTTGTGTTTACCTCGATCACGCCCCATGCCTCGGGTGTCTGCAAACCAATTCGCCGGTGCCGCTCGGCGCGGCCTTTCGCGCACACTGCATGCTCAGGCAGCTCCGGAGTTCGAGAAGTTGCGGGTGGTGGACACCAAGTGCCACGACGAAATGGAAACCAAACTGGCAAAACCAACACTGCCACAAGCATCCTAGCAACAGTCAATAGGGTGCTTTGAAGGGTCAATTTGGTTGGTGTTACTTTGCCTAGAAGGAGAGGGGAATGCTTCCTAAAATAAGGGACCTTCCCGAAGTGGTCAGTAACGTTGAGTTGGCAAGCTTTACACTGGCTAACCTTGGTTGCCAGGAAGCGCACTTGGCCCCATTCCACCCACCCTGAGAAAGGACACCTGAGAGGGGAAAGCAGGGTCTTTCTACCAACGACCTAGTTCAAAAGGTTCTTGAACTGAAGCGAAAGGCCCATTTTGGGGTACTGTTTTGGAGCCAAACCCAGATGCTACCGGAACTGGATTTGTTTGACGGGATTTGACGGGAAACCACGGCAGAGGCAGGTTAGGGTGTCAACCCTTCGTTGTTAGTTTGTGTTTGTGGGGCTCCTATGTTTGCAATATGAAAATTTGCACGAAAACACGCAAAGGGCCCCAAGCCAGACAGGTTTTGCAGTTGTGTCAGGGGCAGGACAAAATCCTGCCCAGCAATCCGAGCTGTTTGCTCTGGGCAGCAAACACAGCGCTGCTTAAAAAGCGATCAAGATCACTTTATGGTCCCTAACACCCCTGAAAGTCAACATGGAACCCCAAAAAGACCTGTTTGCTGGTGTGGCCTCATTGCCAGACTGAAGTGACCTTTTGCCATTTGTTTTTTTAGTCATGATCTCTTAGAGTGCAGCAAAACAATTCCGTCTGGCCAAGGTTGTTAGATTTAAAAGTTATTGGGTCATCAACGCGCATCAACATTACCAATTTTGATGAAATCATCAGCGTGCCACGCACTGCCAACTATGATGAAGCAGCGCTGCCAACTTCGATGAAATCATTAGTGTGCATCAACGCTGCCAACTTTGGTGAATTCATCAGCGTGCATCGGCGTGGCCACATTTGATGAAATCGTGAAAGTGCATCAACGCTGCCAACTTTGATGGAATCATCAGCATGCAGCGGCGTGGCCAAATTTGATGAAATCGTGAAAGTTCATCATCACTGCCAACTTCGAGGCAATGACCAACATGCATCGACGTGGCCAAATTGGATGAACTCGTAAAAGTTCATCAATGCTGCCAACTTTACTGAATGAAACCTTCAACGCATCGACACTGCAGCCGCCAGAAGGGTATTTGTCGAAATCATCGGAGTGCATCAACGCTGTCAACCTCGATGACCCCAGCAACTGTTTAGTCGTGTGTTGGGGTTCCACGTCAATCTGCAGGTGCCTCGGCACGCTAAAACGGCTTCCAGGAATCCTGCATCCCAGTTGTGCAGTGGCATCCCTTGAATCCCTTTTTGTTTGTGGGTTCCGAAACTACACATGGAATCCACCCCCCACAAAGGGTTCCAGGCGTCCAGGGGTCGCTGGCCGACTGGGGTCTTTATTCATCGGTTTTTGCTTCGTATGAAGTCTTCCATAGAGCGCAGACGTGATTAAAAGGGTCAAAACCCGCCAAAGATGGGTTGGTGCCCGAACACAGCCTCCATTTGTTTGGTTTTATTGGTGTTAAACGTAAAAGCCATGTCCGGATATAAACCTTCACAAAAATAGCTATGACAGCTTCCTTGCAACGACTTTTACGACTTTAAATTGTGCAGCACCTAACAATTGCCATCCCTTTGTGGTTGCCCTATGCTTGTTCTCTCTTACTAGCGGCTTTTACTGCGTGGTTTAGAGATTTTGAACCCCCGACCGACTGATACTTGTATTGCTGCCAACCTGAACCACCGGAAAGGGGTGCGGCGATGTGGCCATGGCCCTTACATCTTTGAGGGGTCACCTAGGGCACAAGCCAAACTGGTTGAGCATGTTTCCCGTGAACCAGGCGCCACAAACCGTGAGCAAACCGCCGAAAATTGGAGTTCTGAGCTCAGGAGCCGCCTCACCTGCCTCACCGCCTGGTTCCAGGCCGGGTTCTCCCGGTCCCAGCCCTCCAAAAGGCGCCCTTTTTTGCGTGCTGTGTAAAAGGGAAAGCAACAGGAACCGCCGTTTTGGGGGCTCCCAATATGGAGCCCCATGATACCCGACTAAAATGTGTGGTTTATTGTGGTTTACTCTGGGCTCGTTTCAAACAAACCAAGCTGGATGGCCGTCCCCAAGAAAACGCCCCTCATTTGGAGGAAGAAGATGATCCAACCACTTAACTTTGCCATGCGCGGATCCACCCTGAACCAGGATTCCCAATGTTTCCCTTTGGGCTGTTTAAAGCATCGCCTCCCGGGCCAATTTTAGCATGGGGTGAATCGCAAAATCCGCCTCTTTGGGCTGGGCAGTACAACGAGTTTCTCACAAGGGACAGTACTTACTTTAGTATTGCCAATTCCACTTTAGTATTGCCAAGGTTGACCCTCAGATTCCCAGTACTTACTTTACTATTGCCAATTCCACTTTAGTATTGCCGAGGTTGACCCTCAGATTCCCAGTACTTACTTTACTATTGCCAATTCCACTTTAGTATTGCCAAGGCTGACCCTCAGATTCCCAGTGCTTGCTTTAGTATTGCCAATTCTACTTTGGTATTGCCAAGGTTGACTCTCACATTCCCAGTGCTTGCTTTAGTATTGCCAATTCTACTTTGGTATTGCCAAGGTTGACTCTCACATTCCCAGTGCTTGCTTTAGTATTGCCAATTCTACTTTTGTATTGCCAAGGCCTGTTTTTTCAGCAACCCCCAAAAAGGTTGGACAGTAAACAGAACCCCAAAACAGTCGCATTAAAGAGACTCAGGGCCTCTTGTGAGCAACCAACCCCCTTTGCGCGAATGTTTGCCCTTACCTTTTTGTAAAGAAGTTATCTTAAATTTGATGGTTTGGGGGCCACTGGCAAAATGGACTTACTAGAGTCTGATGCATTTTGGAAGACAATTTTATTCAACCCTTCGTTGCAGCCTGTGGATTTCGGGCCGGTCGTCCCTTTAGGTGCCTTGCCGATCATCCGGCCACAACGCACCCTTTCCAAGAGGAACTCGTCGCCCAAACGGGTGTGTGCACCAAGCCATAGACGAAGAGGGCAAGCCCGTTTTGCCCATTGCCACTGGGCGAGCAGTCCCTTGTCCAGCATCAGTTGCAATGGATGAGATTTGGATCACATTGTCAGCATGCGTTGGCCCCTTGCAATTGGGCTTTGCTGCGGCTAGTTGTTGCGGGTACAACAGCACGGATTCTTTTCTACCAGGAAGGTGTCAGGTATGAGTCAAATCCTCATCAGACTATCATCCTCCAATTGCTTTCCTGGAAGCAAGGGTCTCACGGAGATTTCGTCCCTCAACAAGTCATTATGGTCCTTCCATGAATTTGGGGGAGTACTTTCTGGCAGATGTGGTCCAAATTGTAAGTCATATTGCGGTAATACCTTGGAAGAAAGGGTCCTTCGGTTCAGAAGTGGGAGTTGACGCTAGACTCAAAAACATGACAGAGAATAATCATCGCAAGGCTATAAGCTCAAAAGCGTCCATTTGAACCGACGTGTTGGTTATTGTTTGGCCGCTGGTAGGGGGCACAACCTTTGTGTTTGCCCTATGGAGCAGCAGCTTTTCTGCAGGCAGCTGCAGATGCAGGCTGGATCGTGGGCTTTGGGGACTGATTGCGGATTTTGTTTTGCGTTTGCTTTTGAGTGTGGGCTCTGCTCGTTTTGTTGGCTTGGTTTTTGTGGGCGCGGCGGGGGGGGGGGTTGTATTTGCGGAAGCGGACTGTCTTTTTGCCCGCAACAATAATGATGGAAACCCATAGTGGCATGCCGTTTCTTAGGGCACGCATTTCAGGACGTCTTTGAGCCGAAACCTTCTCGAATCCTTTGCTCTTTGCCTGGCCCAATCCGTCATGTGGTTTACACTGTAATGGTTAGAACACCAAATATGAATCATATATGTCTGATGTCCAACCAATCAAATGCATGCTGGGATGTGACTCATGTCTCATGGTACCTGAATGAGGAACCTTTGAGCTTGATCTCTGATGCATTGAGAATGATACAGGCCAGATAGTTGGTCCCTGTGCAAGGTCGGACGCACAAATCAAGGAAAATAAGGATTCCCATTCAGGGAATCGTGACCATGGCCCACTGTTTGGGAGTTGGACCACCACGCATAGAGGCATGGAGCGAGCACGTCCCGTTTGTACCTTGATCCTTTGGCAGGCCTCAAGAAGAAGCAGCCAGAGTCGAAGAAGCTGGTGAAACCAGCAGCGAAGGCTGGCAAGACTGGCAAGGCTGCCAAGACTAGCAAGGCTGGCAAGGCTCCAGCCAAGCTTGTGGGCAAAAAGCAGAAGACGCCCTAGGGCGCGGCACTTGCCTGCAAGGAGTACGTTTTCGCTGGGGTGCCTGGTCGGCCAATCACAAATTGAGCCTGTTTTGTGTGAGAGAGCCGATTTCAAAAGCTAGAAAACCGGAAACCGAGGAATGGAAGGGGCAGATAACGTGGCCCTGTGTACAAATCCGGCTCTTCTGCGTTTGCGCGAACCATCTCGGTCACGACACCTGACGGAGGCGGGTGCAGAACGATTCGGAGCACGCTTGGGGACAGGACTAGTGGCACCGCTGCGCACACTGTTTTGCAATCGTCAAATGCTGAGTCCTCTGCCGACTTTCACGGGATCCAGAGCAACTTGCGCGATCGTGCACGCAGAGGAAAGAGGAAGCTACATGCAGAGCAAGGTGCGCAAGAGCACATGCAGAGCAAGTAGCGTGAGAGCACATGTAGCGCAAGAGCACATGCAGCGCAAGTTGCGCAATCGTGCACGCAGAGGAAGTAGCGTGGAAGCAAAAGAGCACACGCAGAGCAAGTAGTGCGAGAGCACACGCGGAGCAGGTAGTGCGAGAGCACATGCAGAGCAAGTAGCGGCAGCGTGAGAGCACTTGCAGACAAAGTAGCAAGGCACATGCAGAGCAAGCAGCACGAGAGCACATTCAGAACAAGCTGCGCAAGAGAACGTGCCACAAGTAGCGCAAGAGAGCTTGCGCGAGACATCTTGTGCAAGAAGCGCGGACCCGACATTAAACGTAATCTGTGAAGGCAGTGAGATGGGGGTGTTTGCGGTGCAAAAACTGAGTGCTCTTGCGACTTTTTTTAGCAAACAATGCGCAGGCCACGCTCTGCGCCAATTGGGGGAGTTTTGATACGTTTTGCGAGAGCGGGGATCAGCTTGCTTGGCACGCTCGCGACCCTCTGCGTGGATTGGCATGGTCGTTGCGTGAAAGCTGAGGGCTTTCGAGAATGTTAAGAATTCCCGCGCGACCTTTTGCGGGGAACAGCGTGGCCGATGTGCGCAAACTGAGGACTGTCGCTACTTTTTACGGTGAAGACACGACCTCTGCGAAGATCAGCGTGGTCGATGTGCAAGAACTGGAGCGCTTCGCAATAGTTGACTTGCGTCCGCAACCCGCTGCAGGGATCGGCGTGGTCGACGTGCGACTTTTCGCGGTACTTTCAGTGAGACGACCCCGGCATTGAGAATGACGTTCGCAACAGCTTGCAGCTTGCTTGCAGAGAGGCAGTTGCGCAGAGAGCTTGCGCAGAGAAGCATGCACCACCTCGATAGGATTGCGCAGAGACCAGAAGCTTGCATCAAGAACTTGCGTGAGCAGAGAACATGAAGCCAATAACTTGTGCAGAGAAGCTTGCGCAGGGAGATTGCGCAGAGAAGCTTAAACGGAGACCTTGCGCCGAGAAACTTGCAGAGCGGCCTGTGCAGAGAACGCAAGCGCAGAAATCTTTCACGCTGCACTTGTGCAGAGAAACTTGCACGGGGACCCTACGCAAAGAGACTTGCAGAGAAGCTTGCCACGACTCCAACATTCGCAACACTGAAGCTGCTCAGAATATACATTATGCTTTCGGCCACCTCTTGATCTGGCTTTTGTTTCGCATTTCGCTCGCAGAACCTTCGGCGGGCTTTCGGGGATCGGCCGTTGAAAACACAGAGTTTCTCACTTCATGGGCGAAGACATTCATTGAGAGAGGGAGAGAGAGAGAAAGGGAGAAGATCAGAAAGAGAGAGAGAGTGAGAGTGAAAGCGGAAGATACAGAGCCATAGAAAGACAAAGAGAGAGAGAGACAGGAAAAAGGAAAAGACAGAGGAGGGAGGGAGCGAGAGAGAGAAAACGAAACGGGAAGAAGCAGAGATAGAGAGAAAGAGAGAAAGAGATAAAAGTACAGAGAAACGGAAAAGCAGGGAGAGGGAGAGCGGGGGAGAGACTTTAGTGACCTCCCAAAATCGTAAACGATATCACCCATGTAGGATATTAGGCTCATGAAAAAGGGCTGCTCTCAGCGAGTTTTTTCTGGCCTCTCTGTAGTGATACATCCCTGGCTTGGTCAAACTGATACGGCAGCTTCTGTTAACTATTGCAAGTTGCCAGTCGCGAAACAAGGCGGCCAAGTAGACTACAGGAGCTGCTTTTGTTCCGTAGCTGCAAACTTGTAGGGGCCCTCGGGTAGGAAGTGCTTGACCAGACCGGTTGAAAACCGCATTTGCCAGCACAGCACAGCGCTTTGTGACTGTTGTTGGGAAGTCGCTTGGCGGACCAGGCAGTGCTGCCATGCACGGGTGATAGTCTCTCCTTTCACGAGATGGGAGGGGCGATGGCCTCACCCGCAAAGGGATGCCCCGCGAAGCAAAGTAGGAGCTGGGCGATCGATAAAAGTGCTGCAGAGGGTTGGCCTGCGTCAAGTGTGCTGACAAACTCATTCCCCTGAGGGTGAAAGCTGGAGGCACGTCCACGATCTAAGAATCCAAGCTCAAGCCGGCAAGAACGTTTGGGGAGTAGTTGCCAGGCCCGCCCCGTGATTGAGTTAAACCCTTTCCCTGGAACAGGTGCATAGCCGGGATGCGCGAGCCATGGCGTTGATATCTCAAGGGAGGCGGCCAGTCACAATTTAATGCTCACCGATAGGGGGTGTTGGACGGGGAACGAGCGGCTTAACCCTTGATGAAAATCCCTTACTCTGTTCCAGATTTCCTTTGTATGAATGATGTAGCTGCTGTAGAAATGCAAAGGAATCCAAATGCATAACATGTTGCATGTTGGTTGACAATATTTAAATGTTTTGCTTTGTGTTATTCCTTCGTCCTTTTGGACATGACCCCAAAAAGTTTGAATTTTCCTGGCCAGTCAAATCAGAAGGTCAGATTTGCCTCCTTTCCGCCCTTCCCCGCTGTTTTTTGCAGTTGGAGCCAGGCGTCGCTGCAAATGAGAGCGGTGCTGCTAGTCCTGGGTGTCCGCACGCCTTCCGGAACAAAACGGCCGAAACGGCCGACATGGAAAGGGTGGAATAGTTAGATTCGGTGCGAGAACCCCTCGGACCTCCTGCCCTGGTTTCCTTTTTGTGGATTGCAAAGCCTTTTCCCCATGGGCCACTGGAGGGCTAGGAATCGTTTTGTTGCATTTTTGGGGGAAGAGTGAGCGGCCCAGCTGTTTGGTGTCAGCCTTCAAGCTTATTTTGATTTGTTGTTTGGCGCGTTTCCCAATGACAGTGGTCAACCTCGCAAGGAGTTCCCAATTTTTACGGGTGGGAACTGGTGGGGATGTCCCATGTTTGTTTGAAGTAATTCATCCACTTCAGTCGAACTATTCGGGCCCTGAAAGTAGCGTTGCGGAGGGCGCTTCACCCACGGCCCCGGCAAAAGTCAACACGATGGAGGCTGAAGGAGCGGTTTCTGGCCGTCGGCGGGACTGTGACGAGGGCAAATCGTACCCAGCGAGGTGTGATGTTTACTACGTGATACATATATGATTTAATATTTATTAATATATCGCACATATGCACAGAATATGAGTGTGTGTGTGTGTGTGTGTGTGTGTGTGTGTGTGTGTGTGTGTGTGTGTGTGTGTGTGTGTGTGTGTGTGTGTGTGTGTGTGTGTGTGTGTGTGTGTGTGTGTGTGTGTGTGTGTGTGTGTGTGTGTGTGTGTGTGTGTGTGTGTGTGTGTGTGTGTGTGTGTGTGTGTGTGTGTGTGTGTGTGTGTGTGTGTGTGTGTGTGTGTGTGTGTGTGTGTGTGTGTGTGTGTGTGTGTGTGTGTGTGTGTGTGTGTGTGTGTGTGTGTGTGTGTGTGTGTGTGTGTGTGTGTGTGTGTGTGTGTGTGTGTGTGTGTGTGTGTGTGTGTGTGTGTGTGTGTGTGTGTGTGTGTGTGTGTGTGTGTGTGTGTGTGTGTGTGTGTGTGTGTGTGTGTGTGTGTGTGTGTGTGTGTGTGTGTGTGTGTGTGTGTGTGTTTGTGTTTGTGTGTGTGTGTTAAGAGCCTAGCCCCCAAAATTAAATGGCGTTTCAGTGATGTCATCCGCCATCTTGTGCCTCGACTGCCGCAAGATATGCGTTCCGCCTTTCTCACTGCGGCGCCAGTCTCACCTTTTTTTTTGCGTGAAGATAGTAATTTCCCTTCACTTCAAGGCGTGGATAGATAGCACGCCACAGGACAGACCGAGCTGAAGAGCGAACTGCGTGGCTTGCAGTGCATGGATTTCCAAGTACCCCTTTTCCAACAATCATGGAAGTGGACAAGTGGTTTGTTCAAGAGACTGCTGGTAGTCTTCCAAGCCATCCTGTCCACTTCATAGAGGGTATATTTCACACCAGACATCCCCCTTAGTATTATCAGAGTCACCAACCTACTTGGATGTATATACGCGGTGATATACCCATAGAGTATATGAAGGTACGTAAGCGGTGTTGTATTCTTTGATGAACCGCGTGTTGATGAGGATTTGTTTTAACCGACTGTTTATGAAGGAGGGGGTCCTTAAATATATATAGTCAAGCATGACAATAAGAGAAGCCCGTTTCTGTTGTTTAGAGCTTCCATGTCCATAATGTGTGCGTGTGTGTGTGTGTGTGGGTGTGGGGACAGAACAAGTGCTTGCCACACACGCACGCGCACAGGTGACACAAACACACACAGACACAGACACAGACACAGACACAGACACACAGACACACAGACACACAGACACACAGACACACAGACACACAGACACACAGACACACAGACACACAGACACACAGACACACAGACACACAGACACACAGACACACAGACACACAGACACACAGACACACGCACACACACACACACAACCACATGCTGAACAATCAAACAAAACCGCAAGCACATGCGGGCGTTTGCAAGGCTGGAAGGTGTGGCGTGTTTTTGTTGGTTTAGTGGGTTGAGGCAACAGGGAGGGCCAGGAAGCCCACCTGGTTGAGGCCTGGCACTATTTTGGGGTTGCTTCAAGAGACCCAAAGCGAAAGTGACGCCCAGTTTTGGGGGCAACCCATATCCGCTTTGGAGACCAACTGAGAAGTGCGGAAAGCCGCAAGTTTCTATGCCAAGCTCGGTGAGTCCCCTGGCTGGCAATGGTTTGTTGGCATGGACCAAGGGATCCATCCGATTTGACGAGTGAAACATAACCGTGTGTGATTGTTCACAACGACAACACAAGGGTTAGATGATATGTGTTTTGTTTTCCATGACCCCCCCAAGTCAAAGTGCCGCATTTCCCTAGAGAGCCAACAGCAATGGTTTGTCAGGTGTTTTCCTTTTTTTAAGATCCAGTTTAAAAACTCAGAAAGGGCTGCCTCTTTGCATGGCTTGATGTCATTGAATCCCTGGCGGGGTCCGAATGGATTTTCCTGAGAACACATCGCGGTGATTTTGCCAATTGTGGTTAGCTCACCTGGGAGTAAAGCGAGCTCGCCGTGATGTAGGTCCTTCACTTGGGGATTTTATGTGTTTTAGATTTTGGAATGATTGTAGAGCTTGTTCCTTTGGGGTTTGCTCACACAGTAGAACTCTGGAAAGATGACTAAACCCACAGTACAGAACTGGTCAGCGGTTTCCTTTGCCCTTTTTAGAGGTACTATTTTGCTGCCACTTGGGGATGGGTCTAATATGGGTCTTGAGCCACGTGCTCAAACTGATTCGGGCAAGTGAAGGTGACCAAGGCAGGGTCCCAACCGGAAACAGGTGCGGTGTTCCTCCCTTTTTATTGTTGCCCATGGGTTTCGGGTCCACTTAGTGACTTGCAACAGGCAGCTTCGATCGTCACGGTTTGGGTCGCTCCGAGGCGGAGGAGGCCTACCACGAGCTCTTGCAGATCCAGGACTGCACCTCCCCGGGAAGCGGGCGAGCGAATTTCAGGGTGTCCGCGTTTGGTTTGATCCTCGACAAATGGGTGACATTTCCTTTCTGAGGTATGGAAAGGGTTTTTTGGCCCCCTTGATAGATGGGCTTGCATCAAAAGAATCAGCGGGACTTGTTCCATGTTGGGAGCCAGGAGCGTTCCAAGAAGCTCAGGAAGGTTCGCCCGGGTGCCCGGTGCATCTCAAGACGGCACGGCCTTTGAGAAGCGACATGAAGCCAACCATGTTTGAGAGCTCCCAATTTTCCGCTTGTTCGGTGGCACTGTTTGGTTGGGCTCCGACTCCACTCAAGAGATCAACCCAAAACAGGCTTTGATTTAGGGGAGACCTATATCAAGGGCATAGTCAAGGGGCTTGCTTTTAAGAAGTGTCAATTGTCCAGCCCTCTACATTCTACCAAAAAGAACCGGCAGAGCTTTGACCACCAAGCAAGTAAGAGTGTGAGCCAAAATCAAAGCATGACAAGTCGGAGGAAACTTGGGGAACATTTACAACCATACATAGACAGACGCATCTCTTGTGGTTCCCTTTGTGTATTTCCATGGCCCTGAGCCGCGCAATCCCAATAAAGGGATCCTTCCCCATGTATGTTCCCTTTTGCAACAGGCATGAGAAAAGATGTTGTTTTGTAGTTTGGGTACCCAGTCTCTTTTAATTTGTCCATTGGGAAGGTACTTTGGAACATCGCCAGACCAGGCCCCAAATCCTGTGCGGGGAAAGTTGATGGGTTTGTCTCAAAACCTTTAAGAAATGCGCGATCCTTTTGGTTCCCCTTCCAAATCGTTCGGGGGTCCCGAAATGTGATCGTGAATTGTGGGCCAATTGTATCACCATGTTTAGTCAAAGTCAACTGGTAGAAATTATTGAGCTTGTAGTAGCTTCTGATTCTGGACCTGGCAAAAAGATAAACAGGAACTAAGCCCTCATTTCCACGGGATTCCACCCTCCAAATCCCTTCGAGAGTTCCTCAGCGGCACCCGGTATATCCTCTTCAAAGTGGATCAGAAATGGTCCCCGTGTTCTTCCTGTTGGATCACTCGGCAGATGTTTTGTTTGTTTGTGTGTGTCTGTGCTGGAAACCTCTGTACTTTTTTTGGTGTTGAGTTGTTTGAACCGCCGCTTGGTTGTCATGGTCAAAAGAGTGTATATGAACGACTCTCCAAAACCGTGGCTGGTCGTCTTTCAGTTTCCCTTTGCCAAGCAGCACAAGTTGGAGACACCGCTTCATCGGAAACATGGTCGTGGACGCGTGTTATTCACTTTTTGGGATCGGCCCCAACTCCCAAAGTCAAGGCAAAGACAAGCGCCCGAGGTGAGGAGTTGGAGCTTCGGAGCAACCTGCGGAAAAAGGGTGTGGCTGTGCAGGCAAGTAAGAAGGGTGGATGAAGAAGGAAGGACACGATGACCGCCAGGCCACCTAGGGTGACCAACGGCTCTCAATCGGCCCCAAAATAGCCCGACGTCCGGTTCAATGCCACGGAAAGGACAACTGTCCCGCTTGCTTTAAACACATGCCTTTGCCCGGTCCTTTGCATCAGGAGCCAAAGCTCATGGGCAGTAGGGTTTTACCAGTGCAGATCACAATATCTCAAGTGAGCCACAATCAAAGCCTGGGTAGATGAAGGTTAGTAAGGGCCAATCCCAGCCATAAATAGCTGCGGCCGCCTTCTTAATCCTGTACATGGTTCTGGGTCGACCATTTTAATACCAGGTTTTGATTGTGACTCAAGTGTGGTGCTGATGTTTGCAAGGGTTGAGCTGAACACATACACACAGAGAAACCTTTACAAATAGCCCTTCTGGTGGAAGCAATCATGCCGGGGATTATCCACGTCAGAAAGGGGCTCTTTCACTCAATGAGGGCTCTTTTCACTTGCACCACTCTGATGTTGATGAGAAGACAGATTTACTCCAGTCATGGCCAGTTCTCTGTCAGACATGTCGAGGCACCAGCTTGGTTTAAACAAACATCATGACTGGTGTTTAACAAAACCATGACAAAAGCAAGCATTGTGGTCTAAGAAACTGGCTACATTCGCTAAATGCCAGCTATTTGGACAACTTCCCGTGGAACTTCCTGTTCGAAGTTTCTTAGACATAACCTGTACAACTGCCGACTTGGCGCCTTCACAGTCGCCAGGTCCGGGAGGAGGGCAAGAACCAGGCGCCGCAGTATCGCTGGCTCTACGATCGGAAGCGGTGAGGCAACGAGCCAGGTGGACTGCGGTTGCCTAAGTTCTCCAACCGCACCATGAAGCTCAGGATCACTAATTTCCATGTTCATGGAGTAGAGTTTACCCAGAAATGTTGCCTACTCCAACTAAACTATGTAAACTGGTTGTCGGACAACTCCATGTGCAAAGGACCCAAAGAAACGTGGGTGCTGTGCGGTGACCTGAGGATGGCAAGTGGAGACATGTGTCATGGGATTCCATCCTCTCCTCCACTGCCCCTGCTTCCCTCATTAAGGCCGTAGTTGAAGGAAACCGAGGGGAGAGAGGTTGGATGCCGGGAATTTGATCTGGAACACGGACTCGGGCAAGTGAAGGTTAGTAGGGGGTAGTCCCAACCATAGGTGCGGCAAAGACCTGCCTTTTGATTGCTTACTATGGGTTCTGGGTAAACCTGTCAAATACCGTGAAGCTCCACACCCAACCTGGTCTACACTAGTCTTATTTGGACATGTTCCGAAGGAGAAGGCCCTAAAAATGTGTGGCTTGTTCTTCGAGTGGGCAACGTGGGTTTGGGCGAAAGACCTTTGCCTTTCTTGGTTTTGTGGACCAGAACTCTGAAAAGCATCATGGAGCATTCGTGGGGAAGTAGACTGGGAGTGGGGAGGCCATGGCCTGATTAACCCAAGGCTGTACCAAAGGCCTCTTCCATTACCTCTAGACCCCTCCATGAAACAACGTGCCAGGTTGGGTGTTTGACATAGAGCAGGTTTCAGTTGGGCATGTCAGTGTTCTATTGGCAACTGCACTGACCTTTTTTCCTCGTTAGGAGCTTGACGATGGTAGATAGCATTGCATCATGATATTAGCATTCATACCCACTCAGACACTCAATTCCAAAAAGGTATTGAATTCACATGGGTCGGTGTGCGCCACCCTCAGAGAATCGCGCACAAGCCGCCCACGCTCGTGACACTGCAGGACGTAGCTTGGCCGGTCAAATCGAGCTTGGGAACTGTGGGGTAAAGGGCGGCTTTTTGAAGGGAACCGACATCCCGGTTGCTCAGTGGAATCCGCCCTCTACTGAAGCTTGTTTGTTTGGCAGGTTCCGGAACCACAGAAATGGAAGCAGCCCCAAAGCGGGTTCTCTTTTTTTTAGCCAGGGTCACTAGACAACTAAGACATGCAGTCAAGTACTTGGAGGGATCCAACTTGCCTTGAAATGGGCAACCACCCTCAAGTTGAGAGCTCCTGACGAACTTGCAGAAAAGCTCCCCAACACGACACCATGCGGACGTGTCTTTTTTCAACCTGGTAATTGCCCTGTTTAGTACACTTTGCTCGTAGACCTGGGCTCAGATGTCCGACTGGCAAAATATGATTGCCTTGACTGGTTCCCTCAAACCCTGATGGAAAAACGCACTAACCTGCAAGAGCGTGACAAGGGTGACCACTTCGTGCCCGTGCCTGCACCGTGACATGCAGCGTTGAGTTGGTCCAAACTCGGTGTACTTGTTTGTTCGTTAGGTGTTCAGATGCATGTGAAGAGAGATGTTTACGTTTGAAGATGGGTTTGCTCATGCAGGGTGATCGTCGCTGGAACGATGTCGCAAACAAATCACAGTTTGTTTAAGCCAGCTGCTACCGCGCTGAGTTGTCAATCTATGGGGCATTGGCTCCAGCAGGGGTTTGCGGCGTATTTCCCCTTGTTTTTGTTGGACCATCTTTGACAGGGCTGCTCGGGGCTGTCCCTGAAACATGACCAAGCTCCAAGGGTAGAACATGGTGTCCTTTCATCAAGGATCACAGTTCCAATCGGTGCTCGGGTCTTTGAAGCAACCCTGTTTACAAGCGGATGTTTGGCCAAGTCCCGACACAAGTTTCCTGATGTGCACCGTATCATGGTCAGTGGGGAATCTCCTAGAAGGCTCCCCCTTTTGGGTTCCACCTTACTTTGTAGAGGAGTAATCCTCATGCATTTGTTGAACACGGTTTAGCTGGACCAGCCCACTACACATTACATGATTGTATTGGGGATCTCGGATCTTTGCAATCATTTTCCATAGCTCGCTATGGACCAGAATGAAACATACCTTTGGGAGGCAAAAACTGAGGTTGTGTCACTTTTCGGAATATCAAGGGGCATCCCCTTGAACTCTTCAAATGAGTCAGGGGGATGGCCCACTTCGATATCATAAAGGGGTGGCATCCAGAACCGTGCTTCTCAACTCTCAGCGTTGACGGTCAATGCTTACAGGCTCAAAGCCCAAGCGGCCGGGAAGCCTTCAACGACATGGAAAGACCCCCAAGTCCGACTGCGGCAAGTTTCGACCAAACCTCAATTTGTTCCCCCTGTGAAGCGACCCAGCCTTCACACTGTCACGCGCCTGACATGCTCACATTCTCGCATTGAGCACATTTCCATCCGGAAAATTGTCACGGCGATAAGGCGCCCTCATCCTTTCAAGAGGTGTGGGGCAAAACTACAAGCACGTGTGTCCAAAAGAGCAATCAGTTGCAGGCGCGCTTGCCTGCGACCTGTTTAAGTTTAACTGTTCCATGGATTCCATGGTCTATTTTTAGTGATCCCCAAAACTTGTCCTTTTCTTTGAAGGTCCATTGGGCGGAACCCCTGGAAAGGGAGCCCTGCCCAGAAGTTTCCGGGTGCCAAAGTCAGAGGGTAATGGGAAAGCCTTTGGGAGCCCTAAGAGAAGGGCAATCCGGTAAACCCTTTTCGATATAACAAAAGTTGCAAAATGGGAACCCTTGGAATGAGTGCTTTGCGCTTTGCCAACACGTTTTGGCTGCAAGTGGCATGTCGCCCCGCCGGTGCCATGCCACGCTTCGGCGGACTACTGGTTTAGCTCAGGTCGCTTGCTTCGGAGCACTTGGGGCTTCCCGGGGTTTCGGAGTTCCTCTTTTTGGGTGTCAGAAGCCAAGGAATCTGGGGCATTGGCTTCTCAGTTTTGGGGGTAGGTTTCCGGAGATGCTTCTCCAAGAGTTGAAGCCAAGGAACCCCAGGAAGACATGAATGCGCATGTGGTGGGCTTCGGTTTTCCTAGAATCCAGCAACCAACTAGGAATGTGAGTGCCGCCTGGCTGCCCCGTGACCTCAGCCATAGCCAGCCTCACAGTGGTCCAGGCCGCTTTGTTTTTTTGGCGCTGGTGGGAAACCCACCAAGCAAAAAGTGTGCCAATTCTTCCTGTTGGGTGAAAGAGCTCACCGATTCAGGTGTAACACAGGCGATTAGCCCATGATGAAGGTTGCTTTGAAGTTTCTGTTTGAAGGTGTGCGCATCACAGTAGTTCAAACGAAATTGCCTCCCTGCTTGCTCTGGATCACATGCTAAGTTCCTGGCCAGTTTCCAGGATTGAGGAGCCCTTGCCAAGGGAGATCCGGTTGCCACAGGCCTTTTGTTGCTCCTCAGTTCTCGTTGCCAAGTGTCGGGAACCGCCAAGTTGATTGGATAGGCGGTGGTTTTGCTGGCGATCTTGATCTTGCCCTGGAAGCTCTGCTTCACAGGCGGCTCGCGGACGGGCCATGGAATGGCTTGCCCCCAAAAACGTGCCCCGGGGTCCCTGTTGGTTTCCCCGCAACTCAAACCCCAAAAAGGGTAGCCTCATAAAATGCAAACCCAACTTTGCTTGTCCTAAAGTCAAGATCACTCGTGTTGCTCGGTTTGAATTGAAGGGGGGCCATTGTCAACCCACTGTAAAAGGATTTATTGCACTCTAAAGAGTGCACTCTTACATGCGACTTTTCATGGTAGCCATTCATTCAATTTTCAGCTCGGTCCCCGCTTGCTTGATATTCAGTCAATATTACATGAGGGAAAAAAAGGAAACTATGAGGCCGTTTTGCAGAGTATTGTTTCGGGGACACACAAACATTGCCAGTAGGGAATAGGTTGAAACGCGTTGCTTGCAATGTCGGGATAATGAACTGGGCACTCTTTGTTGCTTTCTTTGTTTGGTGGGGTTCCTTCACACTTCTCCCACAAGCTGTCGGTTGCTTGAAATCGGCGTGTCCTGGGGGTCTTTCAATGTACATGGCCATCATGTTGAAATATGTTGTTCTTGATTAGCACTGTGAGGAACC